GACCGCACACCACGTTGTGTGTCTTGTTTCCAGGGAACATGGTGCGAAGCCCAGCCTGGGAGCAGCTGGACACACGGACACAGAGCCCTCGTCAGCCCTCAGCCGCCCGGCAGCCCCTCCTCACGGGGTCACTGGGCCGGGAGGGACAGGAGCCCCCCTGCCCCCCAGGACCTCCCGGGAGACCTGCCAGGACTCACTCGGCCCACGGAGTGCAGCGGCCCTCGCGGCCCCCAGAGAAGGTCCCTGCGGCACAGTCGACACACTTGAAGCCGAACGTGAAATTCCCTGGAGACAGACAGATGGACAGGAAGACAGGTGGACAGGCTGCGGGGCTGCCGGGGGGGTGTGGACCCCGACACGCATCCCCCAGACAGAGGCCTCCAATGCCCACGGGACCAGGGCCTGGAGAAGCAGGGCCGGTGTGTGCTCGGCTTAGGGCAGGCATCTGTCGGGGAGGCAGTCTTGGGGGGACCCAGAGGCCTTGGGGGGACCGTTGGGGGGCTGCGTGGAGGTTCCCTGGGGGGACATGAGGAGGAGTAGAGCAGTGTGAGGTGGGGCCAGAAGCGGGGGAAGCAGAGGCCAGGCCGACAGGCCTTGCGCTTGGTCCAGTGGCCAGAGGGCAGGAGGGCAGGAGGGGAGGGGTTGAGGCTGGCGCCCCAGTTGACCCAGTCCCTGCCACTGTCCAACCAGCAGGGCTCCCCTCAGTCTGCACCCCCAGCCCCTCCCATCAGGTAAACTGGCTCCAATAGGATTTGAGTTGTTCCTTCCCCAAAAGGGGCTGACCCCACATGGGGCTCAGGGGCAGGCTGTCCCCATGCAGATGGTCAGGGTGGGTGCAGGCCCTGCGTGTGGTCAGAGCCGGGCCTGAGGACCGACAGCCCCTGGACACCCACAAACACGGCCCCCCCTGTTCCTCGGACCCGCCCCGAGGGGCCCAGGCTGGGCGGGGAAGGACTCCCCGAAGTGCACTGACTGGGGCCGTGACACTCAGCCACAGAGGACGCTGGCGCCACCCCCCGAGGACATGCCCACGCCCCCCCATGGTGAGCTTCCTTATGCCACTCAAGTTCCAGGGCTGGGCTGGAGCGGCGCGGACTTACCGTAGGCCTTCGCCCCCTGGCCGGGCGGGCAGGGGTGGTGCTTGCAGGTCGTGCAGTCGGGGTCTGCACAGTGGAACTCGGACTGGATGCATGTGCAGTGCCCCTCGGGACAGGCCTCGGCTGGGCAGGAGACAGGCCAGCCCTCTCAGCAGCGGGGCCGAGCCCCCTCCACAGGGCGCCCCACTTCTCCCGCCCTCCAGGGTCAGGGGGGTCAGGGCAGGGCAGCCCCACCCTCCGACACCACCAGGAGGCAGAAGGCACCCGGGACCCTTGCTCCGTCCAGCTGGGTCCCTCCGTTCCTGGACACCCACTCCTCCTAGGAGGCCTGGCTGCCCCCCTCCCCCCTCCCGCCCTGAAACTGCTCACCCAGTGCGGCCAGGAGCTGTCCCTGCTGGACAAGGGAGTCGCCCAGGGGAGCCCCTGCACTGCCCCAGCGGCTGTCCCCCTCCCGGCCCCACCGGCCAAGACCCCTCAGGGGGTGTTTTCCCTTTGATATTTGACCCCTGGCTGGCGCCGGCCACCTGCCCCTGCCCACAGCCCAGAGCCACAGGTCCGAGTCAGGGGGCGGGGCGGACAGGGCGGCCGCGACCCCAAGATGGACAGGAAGTGTCCTGGGTGGTGACCAAGGACCCAGTGCCCACTCATAGGAACCGGGACCCTCGCCCCGGGCCCAGCCTCAGCCACCGACGGGAG